GACGCTGCTCTACGGCCCCAGCAGCCCCTGACCCTGCGGCGCGGGTGGGCCAGTCTCCGCAGCAGACTGTGGGCCAGACTCCACAGTCCCCGGGGGCACACGCCGTCTCCTTGTCCCCCGTGCCCCGTTACACGGCCGCAGCTTTGGCCACGTCCCCAGGAACGGGGCTCGGAGAACCTTGCGCCTGTGACACGCTGGTGCTGCAGGCACCCGTGCCCCCCCACCTCCCCCGGCGATGTGACTCCCCGCAAGGAGCAAACCAGCACCTTCCTCCGGCGGTTAGTTGGAGCAGAGGGGGATCTGGAAGGAAACTTTCTGAGAAACGGGAATTTTAATGATTTCTCACCCTGGGCATGTTTGGTTTTTTGTTTTTTTTTAATCTATCGCGCTTTGCTCTCATAAAAGATCACAGTGCACGTTCCTCACGTGGGTGGATAGTTTTGAAGTCATTGCAGTTTATTGTAAGGATTTTGCAAACAGTTATTCTTGTAACTGCAGGTTTTCTGCAGGATCTGCTGCACGAGGCTTTGTAAATATTTTGTGGGTAGGTCAGACTGAGAATTATTCAGGTCTCTTGCCACTCGGTTCAGAGTTTAATCAAAAGGTAATCCCGGCTGTGATCAAAATAGCAGTCACCAGCATCAGTGAATAGAGGAGATGACATTTCAGAGTGGGGTTTTTTTCACGGTTTTTATTACTTTAGAGCAGATTGATTGGCAGGACAAATGTTGCTTTAAAGTGATTTAAGGGGGCGATATGAAAGAATTCCGCACAGGCTTTGCCAACCCTTCGAAGCCGGCTCAAGAGATGCTTTTGGTTGTGAATTGTTGGTTATTTAATGACAGTAGTTACTGTATTGCTAGAGACACGGCTGGTGCATTGCAATGTGCATTTTCAGTAGTAGAAAGGAGAAAAAAAGAGCTACTTTAGCTATCGTGTGCTGTTGGCTAGAACTGGAGATCTGGTTTTCCTCCAGAGTCTCCTAGTTAAACTAGCCTGGAAAACAAATTCAGACAGAACACAACGGCCAACTTTCGGGGTTTATTATTGCAGTGAAGAAAAACTGCTAAGCCCTGCTTTTCTCTCCAGGTATATAAACTCTGTTCAGAGAAGCGCTTAATTTGAAGGGTCTGCCAGCATTATTGAGCTGCAACATTTGTAGCTGAGTTCAGATACTGGAAAAAAAAGTTGGTTTAAATGTGGAGTTGTTAGTACACCTTTCACAGGCAAATGAATCCAGGTTCTCAGAGAGAGACTGTTCAATTTATTTTTTTCAGCTGAAGTTTTTTTTTCCTGGTACCA